GGGCGCCCACCCTCCCCGCCCGAGTGCTGGCGGCGGGGCGTCCCTCCTCCCATCTCACCCCACAACTCCGCTCCCAGGGCTCCCTCACCCCGACTTCCTCCTCCTGGTAATCTGCGAGTCCTGCTTTAATCTTGGGGACGGGCACTAACTCCAGGTCACTCGGACCCCACGCCCAGCACGTAGTAGGCGCCCAGGAATAAACGTGGAGGGACTCCAGGTGGCATCGTGGAGGGAGACCGCCGGGGAGCCCCGCGCTCCGGCGGCTTTGTCTCGGCGAAGTCTCCCGCGGAGTCCGTCCGCGAACCTCTCATCCCGGGAAGAATTTGACCCTAAGGACGCGGCTAGAGGCACGGCTGCCCCCGCTTTGGCAGCTGCTTCGGCTCAGTCTCGGAATAAGAAATAACAATTACATCACGAGGCCCCGGCGGCAGCGCTGCGGAGCCTCTGTGTTTCCTGCAGCCTAATCTTGCTGAACCCGCCTCTAATTCGGGGGGATATGGATTGGTGAAGAGAGAAAGTGGAGGGAGGAGAGAGTCCTAGGAAACCATAATTTCTCCGTTCTTATGTTTGCTGTTATAAAACCTTATCCTCAACACTCCCCAAACGGCTCACTAGATTTATTAACGCCCCTTCAATACTTCCCCAGATATCAGGTTGCTTTTCGACTCTGGCATCTAGCATTTAGTAACTCGCCATGAAAAAGACTACCCGAGGGAATGAGTGCCATTGCTGAAATTGCGCTTAATACAAAAACGTCAAAGTGCAGCTTAGCCTCGCCTTAGCTTTGAAATGGCATTCCTGTGTTCAATACAACACTTATTACACGAAGCAAATGAGCGATGAGGCACTCCATTCTTGTATGTAGGTTTTCATATCCTTTTGAATTCTATTCTTTGAAAAGAGTTGCTAGTGACTTTTAAAAAAATTATACAAGTCCTAAAACAGTATTCTATGCCTGTTATATAATGGCTGTGTTGCGCATTTAAAATTTCATTTAACCTTTAAAAATGTGAATGAGAGTTTTGGAATACCTTCATAATCTTAAAAGTGAAAGCAATTTTTAAAATTAATACTTAATAAATCCAGCACCGAGCACAGTGCTGGGCACATGATAGGACTATTTTGCTTAATGGTAATTGTGCATTTTAGAACAATTATTTTACATGAACCTAGTGATTCAACTGTGCAGTCGGTTGCTATCATATATAGTTTAAACCTCGGATGATAGCTTATTATTTGCATATACCACAGTTTGAAATCTCTAGGTAACGTAACAAATCTGCTGTTCCATAATGCATCATTTTCCCAGGATTGACCCAAAGCAAACTGTTCCAGTTACAGCATAATTTGAGCTTGGCCCTTTAAGGAGTCAAACTCACTTTTTAAAAAACTGTTTTTTAACTGTTATACAAAGTTATAAAATCTATTATAAATGCTATTTTCTTAGGCAGTTTACTGGACTTTCCTTCAGCTTTTTCCTAAAAATACTTTAATTTTATTTCAAGTATTGATTGTAGTAGGTTGTAGTGGATTCAACACATATATCAAGTTCCCATCATATATTAGGCTCCTTCCTAGGTGTTAGGGATGCTCCCAGGAGGTATGTAAGTTGCGAATCACTGCATTGAAGGACTCTAGGACACAATGACCTAGTGATTATCTCTGTCTTGTAGTTTCTCTCTTCCCAACTTCACTAAAACAACAATCTGTTGTCCTTTCTCTGTTGCCAGCATGCCTGCCTCTAAAATCCTCCTCCTCTTCTGATTGGCAGCTTCTAGTCTGGTGCAGGCTAGGAATCCAGATAGCCTCACTTTTCAGAGTTCAATCTAAAGTAAAAATCTGTTCTGTATAAGGGACTTGTGCTCACCAAGAAGTAAGGCCTATGAACCTTAGTGCATAGACTTTGGGACAGATATTTGGACTGCTCAAACGTTGCTTTAAAAAGCTTTTTTTTTCTTCTTAAGTGGGGTTTAGATCATTGAGATTGGTTGTATCTCCTAATAAGTTACACTTAACTGTCTTGCCCTCCAACACTAGTGTTAAGAAGGCCACTGCCATATGTTAGATGACTTAAAGTTACCTCTTATTATTTATCTATCTTTTCAGTCTCACAGAAATCCAATTATTGAAATCCTGAGCTCTTTTTGATAGTACATTAATGTTAAATTAAGTGCAAACCTTTTGTAGAATTCATGTTTACTTAATCATGCTAACTGGAGCCATTTTCTTGTTGTTCTTTGTTTTTAAAAAATCAATACCTAAATTTCCTGGCTAGGAGAGTCATTGCAAGAATACTGGGGCATATATGTAATATAAGATTGCCTATTCAGTAATTTGTATTTATTTTATTTTTTAATTACAGTTGCTATCGAATATTATTTTAGTTTCAGGTGTACAGCATAAAGGTTAGACATTTATATAACTTAATTAAGGGATCCCCCTGATAAGTCTAGTACCCACCTGACACCATACAGTTATTACAATTTATTGACTGTATTCCCTATGCTGTATTTTCCATCCTTTGACTATTTTGTAACTGCCAATTTATACTTCGCAGTTCCTTTACCTTTTTTACCCAGTCTCCCAACCCCCTCCCAGTAATTTGTATTTTGAAAATAACTCTCATTTTAACCAATTATGAAGTGGAAAAAAATGCCCTTCAGTTTATATACTAAACATGAGTATTTTTATGAACCAAGGGTTTCCTTGGGATCACATACTTATAGTGCAGGCTTACTATGTTCATCTACCACAAAGAAGTAGCCTGGGAAAGGTATGTTTATGATATGCTCCCTGAATCTGTCCTGTTACAGCATTTTCTATATCAATTTGTGCCTGGTGTTAACTTGTCTGCATTCCACTCTAAAGGCAAGCACTACAGGCACAGGGTTCATTTCCCTATTGTTCACATTTGCATACTTCCACTACCTATCGCTGTGCTCAGCAAACCCTAGGCATTCAGTAGATTTGGGGTATGATACTGTCATATCCTAAAGGACAGAGTGTTTATTTTTACTTGGGGTACAGGTGTGAGATGAGGGAATTCAAAGAAAATTTTACTGAGAAAATAATGCTTCAACTGATTACTAAAAGGTAAGAAGAATTTGCCAAGTAGGCAAAGTGGGAAAGGAATTCTCAGTAGAGGAAAATGATTGTTTAACACTAGAGTGGGGTGAAGCAAACAAAAATATACATTGGGAAGTATCTGAACCCACATTATACATTTTGAACTAGTGACTAATGAACTATGACAACTGGCAAAAATATAAACAGGTCGAACTCCAGCATAGTTACACTGATACAGTCTCTTAGCCTCTAGAGAAATAAAAATATAAAGTAACCCACAAATGTAAGCTGCATATGCACTTTTACATTTTCTAGTAGTTACATTTAGAAAATACAAAGAAGCAGGTAAAATTAATTTTAATAACATACTTTATTTAAACCAATATATCAAAAGTATTATTTCAAAGTGTACACAACATTAGCTATTTTAAAAAAGAATGTAAAATTTTCACTAAATTTTCATACTCCAGTGTGGCGTTTACACTTATGGCACATCTCCATTTGGACTAGTCACGTTCAAGTGCTCAGTGGTTGAATGTGGCTGATGGCTGCAATACTGGACACTGTAGCTCTAGAGAATGGATGAATTCTTTTTTTGGATGAATTCTTTAATAGTGCAGTTAAAAATAATCTTTAGAGATGAAAATTTAAATCTTGTTAAATTTAAGGTTTCATTTGTTGGTTATTGGTGTTTAGCTATACTATGTTATAAAGACTATTTTCTTGTGTCTGGGCTTTTATGTCAATTAGAGAATCAGCAAAGTTTTCATTTATGTGCTGTCTAGCCACAATTACTCCTGTCTCTATTAACTGTGGTGGTGGACTGAAAACGTAAACTGGCTTTTATGGCAGAAATAAAGCATTATATATTTGGGGTTGAATATGCTTTTAAAAAGGCTTCTCTGGAACACAGAACTACCACTATGCTAGCTCCTATCAAACATATTCCTGGCTCTAAAAGCTCAGGGTTTTGTTCTTTAATTCTTCCATGCCCAGTTGCTGGTGGGCTGTAAAATCTACTCCAGCCTTTGAGGCAGTCACCTGCCTGAAGCTGCTGCAAGTGGGAAGTGCTGCCGTGCCCGAGGATTGAGAACGGTTTTATAAAGGTGTTTAGACACCCTGTCTGCAGGTTACTGTGCAGTTTTCCCTAATGAGATTGAAGCTTTTACTTTCTGGATGTCTTGGGTGCCAAGAACTGACAATTCTATACTTAAATGAATCCTGAAAATGGGATCTTAAAAAATGTCTGAAAATAAAGTGGTTTTTTTTTTAATATATTTTATTGATTTTTTACAGAGAGGAAGGGAGAGAGATAGAGAGTTAGAAACATCGATGAGAGAGAAACATCGATCAGCTGCCTCCTGCACATCTCCCACTGGGGATGTGCCTGCAACCCAGGTACATGCCCTTGACCGGAATCGAACCTGGGACCCTCCAGTCCGCAGGCCAACGCTCTATCCACTGAGCCAAACCGGTTTCGGCTAAAGTGGTCTTTATGACATAGTATAACTAAACACCAATAGCCAAAAGAAAGCAGCTGTAAGTGTACAACAAAAAGGCAGGTACTTTAATGCAATGCAAATGTGGACAATGTCTTCTCATTCCCAAACCAGGAAGTTGTCTAGTATAGTTGAGGAGTCTAAAGACAAAAAAATCCCAATGAAGGTAAAGAAAACCTGCCAGTTTGATGATGTGTCAGTATAACATGTCTAAATGATTGAAAGTAAACATTACATGGAGTACTATCTCTTTATGTAGAAATGGGTTATGTGGATTTCACTTAGCAGCCCTGTCGTAAATGAATACAAATTTTATTTTCAGGATTTTACAAACATCCATCCATATATAAATTAATTGAGTAAGACATGATCCTATTAGTATTTAGAGATTTTATTCAGACAACCTTCAGCTAAAGCATATCTGTTTTCCCAAATTATTCAGAGATCTGTAGGGAAAATAGCTATAAGAAAACAAAATGTATATTTACCATTTGTATAACTGTTTGACCCTCAAAGGAAATAGACATAGATTCTGACATATCTGTTTTAGATTTGTTTAGTTTAGGTAACATAAAATTCCTATATAGTCTGTATTTTCATAACATTTACTAAAATTAGTGTTCTCTCTCTCTTTCTCTCTCTCTCTCTCTCTCTCTCTCTCTCTCTCACACACACACACACACACACACACACACACAGGTATACCCCTAAAATTCTACACAATTTAATGGGGAACAAATAGCCTTTACAATAAATGGTGCTGTGACAATTGGATATTCACATGGAAGAGAATGAAATTTGACCCCATTTTTGTACTATACACAAAAATTAAAATGGATTGTAGGCCTAAATGTAAAAACTAAACTACAAACTCTTAGGAGGAAATGTAACAATAAATCTTCATGACCTTGGTTAGGCAAAGCCTTCTTAGATATGACACCAAAAGCACAAGTGACAAAAATAAATAGGTATATTGGACTTAAATTAAAATATTTTGTGTATCAATGGAC